AGAGTTTAATACATTTTAATCTAATAACATCAAAAACTAAAATGCAATAAAAATCTCAATTTTGCTAAAAAATTCCCATAACCTGATTTTCTTAGCAATCAACCCATATATTACAAGTAAGATTTTAGTTTAAATTATTATGCTTTTTAATAATTGTCAAATTGTCTTAATTTTATATATTTGTAAAATAGATTCCATTATCAGTATTTCCTCCTGTAGTTATTGCTTTAATTCTAAATAAAGGAAATGAGACTGCAAATGCAATATCACAATTGCATAAACAATTAGTTTTGAAAATTACACCACAACTTAGCCTTTGTATATTTTCTTTGGAATCAGATAATACTATAGTAGAATATCAAGTATAGTAGTCAATTATAAATATTCAAACAAATGAAAAATTAGTTGTTAAAGAATTTTAATTTAATATTAACTTTTTATATCCAATTTTTGATCATATTGGTCCTGTAATATGTGTTCAAGATCTAAAGCATGCAAAAAAAATAGCAAAAAATGCTATAATGTCTGAAGCACAATTATTAACATTTAGTAACTCCTTAGCCTGATTTGATCACTTTATGTCACTTATTAATCAATATAATTCTATTTTATATAAAAATGATACTATGAATCTAGATCATCAAGATGATGTAACAGCTTATCAAACCTTTTGTTCTTCAAATTTTCATTAATATTTAATAACTGATTATTATGTTAAAAGTAGAATGGAAAAGTTTGCTGTTTATATTTTTGTAATGAGTAAATATTAAAGAATTTGTTAATTAATGTTAATTAATATTATACTTAATTTTTAACCAATTATTTTTTTTATTTATAAAGGTAAAATAATTGAAAGTTACTTAAACTGCAATATTGCATCACTTGAATGAATTTAAATGATTATGATTGGCTATTTTTTTATTCAATTATGACGCACTCATATAGAAATTCTTTCTTAAAAATATTCTGAATTTATTTCAATACAACAAAATTTCTTAGCAAATCAAACATTTGCTATTTTTACTTCTCTTTGCAAGTCACTTATTTTACTAATTAAAGCTCATTATGAATATTATTTATAAATACCACTCTTACCTTAGTTTTATGAATCTGAATCTGTTAAACATTTCTTTGATATTATACGTCAATTAAATTCAGATTTTGATTTTGCAGATTTAATCCAATTACTTCTGAAAATATCATAATTTACCAAAGCTTTAAGATCAAAAAAGCTATCTTTTGATCAAGAAAAAATTGGTCATTAAGGTAAATATTAATATTTGATTGTATCATTCATGTAATTTACATTTTTTATTATTTTAATAGTAAAATTTTATTAAAAAAATTATATAGGTTATCATTTTGATTATAATTCTCAAAATTTAGATGAATCAACATTAAAAATATTGAGACTTTGACCAACAGATGAAGAAATTTTACAAACAATAAAACATTCACACTATTTAGCTTATAAATTTACTGAATTTCTTGAAATAATTCAACATACAAATATCTTTCTTGAACTAAATTTACAAATTTTGATTGATGTTCATGAAAAAGAAGTTTTAATGTCATATAGAAAAAATCAAAGTGAAAAAAATGAACAAAGTGAAAGTACTGAAACAGATCTAACTACAGCATTAGCAAATATATCTTATGAAATAGAGTATATTTTAACAAAGAAATATGATAATGAGAAGGCAAATTTATCAAATTTATTCCAAAAAGGTTTGCAACTAAATACTATAATTGATTCTGAAGATTTGTCTATTTTGTATAATAGAGATAACAGTAAGTTATAAATATTTTTACAGTTTGAGTTTTAATTATAATTTATTATTTATTAATTAATTAATTTTTCAATACTGGATTTCAATATAGATTAGAAGATAATGGCTTAGATTTTGAAATTCTATTATAATAATGATAAAAACATGAAGCATATACTTCAAAGTCACTTGAATGAAAATTCAAAACAGTTACTATAAGACCTAATAGTTTAGCTATACAACTAAATAAAGCTAGTTATTTTGTTACTTATTTTACTAAAAATAAACATCTAAAGCAATGATTTGTCACTTAACATGAAAAATAATAGAAGGAAAATCGTAAAAAAGTATCAATTACTTTAGCTCAGCTTCATGCTGAAGAATTGGCAGCATAATCAAAAAGAAAGAAGCATTTAACTAAAAAAAAGGTTTAGCATTCGCATATTTAAAGTTAGTATAATTTTTTAATTATACATTTTTTATTTATAGTTACAGTTACTGATTTTTTATTGTTTAATTTTATTTCAAAAGTTCTAAATATTGAAAATACAAATATTTCAAAGGATTTTCTATTAATTAAAGAAGATTATGTATTTGTTTATATATGATGATCAAATATACGTGAAAAGGGTTATTGTAATTTACTTTAAAGCTTACAATAATCATTGCTATACTAAAGATTTGAATGTATATCTTTACATATTTATATTTCAATTTATCATGTGTTTAGTAATTTAACTAAAGAAGGGTGCAATATTTTAATTTATCATCTTGCTTCTAATATTATTTATCATATTGAACAAACTAGTATATTAGTTGAAAAAAATATATTAAAGCTATTAAGAAATGAAAGATAATATTATTATAGTTACTTTAGTCAAAAAGATATAATTGAAACAATAATACAATAGTAATATTTTTATTATAATACATTATTTTATAATAATAAAATTTACTAATATAATGATTGATAGAATAATAGAAAAATTACATAATAATAAAAGTTAGGGATATTAGTTTACTTATTTTTTCAATTATTCGAAGTTAGGTGTTAATTTTATGTACTAATCTTATTAAAAACCCTTGTGTACAGCTATTAATAAAAAATTTTTACATCCTCTGACCTCTACATATATATTTTGGGATCCTATACCTGTGTTATACATTTTCTTAATATTTCTTAATTTACAATTTTAACTATTTTATAATAATCACATTATTTACAAATTGTTAATTAATTTTTAAGATAAACAAATTTTTTTTTGAATATTTTTTCATGATAAATAGTATTTTTTATGATACTGTTATGTCTTTTAGATTCTTTTGTATTATGATTATAGTAAACTAATTTATGATAACATTTCTGATATAATTCATAATCAATTTAAAGTTTAACAAATAAAAAGATGCTTCAGAACTTGTCTGTACTTTTGCTATTATTTGTAACTCTTTTCATAATCATATATTACATACAATTCTTTATTATAATTATTTAATATTTAGAATAATTTAAAGTTTTAAAAAAAAAAAAAAGGTAAATCTAGAAAATCTAAAAGTAGATCTAAGTAGAGTGAATGTAAAAAATATAATTTATAAATTGTAACTATGTTATTATGTAAATTTATAATATATTATTTTTTTATTTTATACTATATATTTAATAAGTATTGATCATTTCAATTGAAAATTTTCATGATAATGATTTTTAATCATTTTTTTGCGATTTGGTCATCTTTCATTATTTAAATCACGTGATATTTGACCAATAGAATCAAAATTCCCGTGATATGTCGATCATCTCCATTATCGGCGATACCCGTTTCACAAATTGATTTTCTAAAAATAGCGGAAAGTTCGAGTAACATTCGGTCCAAATGAGGAAACGATCAGCATAAGAATCACGTGATAAGATCAGATTGTTTCTCACGGTCTTGAGAAAATCCCTTTTATTTTTTCTCAAGTTCGAGTAACATTCAGCCCAAACGTGTGAATTGGATTCTCACGGTCTTTGATTTATTTTTCTCAAATTTTCTCAAAATAATTGTAAAATCTCTTTTTTTCATCAATATGGGTAAGGCAAACCGAAAACAATTCTTTAACCACCGTCAACATAATCTTCGACAACAAAAAGAGGGTGAAAGACAACGCCATTTAGACGAACTGGATATAGAGAACCATGGGCTTCATTTACAGCTAACTACTTCTCTTACACAAATAACAACTTTATCTAATAGAATTAACACACTCTCTACTCAGCTTAATAGATATAGGCGTAGAAGTCGCTACCTCGATAATACCTGTAATGACCTTCAATCTCAATTAAAATATATACAGAGCGAAGTTGAACGATTGCAAGGATTAAATGATGTCCAAAGAACTATGGACCTTCAGAGAGAAGTGAATCAACTTCGACGAAATTACGAACATTTATTGGATCAGCTCCAGCAGAGAAGTAGAGAATTTAGTTTTGCTTATCATCTTCCTCTCAACGAATAATTTACTACTAAATTTCTTTTCAGGGAGAGATGTCGTAAGACTTTTTGTCGTCATAGAACTTGCGTATGCTGAAAGGCGTCGTAAGGCATTTTTGTCGTTCTATAGACTTGCGCTCTCTCTCTTTCTTTTCTTAGCTAGTAATAGTAGTAGATAGTTCTAGATAGCCTTTCTTTTGATGTATTTTTCTTTTTCTAAATTTCATGTATATATTTTCTAAAATTATTTAATAAAATTCTGCAATATTGCGCTTTTGCCTTTAACTAACTTTAGATTTTTTTGACCGATGGTACACAAAAAATGAGAAAGTTTGATGGCCTAATTGCTTTAACCAAATAAAGTTCATATATCATATTCAAAAATCTCAATTTTAGTTCGTAAGGTGATTTTATCTTTGACGAAAGTTCTAACTTTTCGAAAGCAAACAATATAAAATAACGAATACTCCTCCGGTTTTGACGAAAATTATGAATTTACAATGATTTCCTTAAACTATTTGCCAAAATTACTTAGATGCTCAAACGTAATTTAAAGGTTCTCTTTTAAATCTCCGTTCTTTGATATTTTGTAAGCTCTTTATTTAGCACTTTCACCTTTCATTCTTCTATATTTGTACTTGACAAAACTCATTTTACATCTCTTCTTCCTCACATTTTCTCATTCTCAACTCTTTCTCACTTCAATCCATTTTGCATTGAAAACATGATTCGTCTTTTAACTTTCGTAACGGTTTTCGTCATTTTGACTTGGGTTTTACTTCGGTCCGTAAGTTGAAATCTGCATTACCAGTAAAAAAATGCTGAAACTTTCACTTGTTATATATATATTTTTTTTCTATGCTTTGTAGGACTTTTCAATATTTTGTCGAAACCATTGGAAATGCGGCTTCCGGTGATAAATCTTTCGGCGGTAAACACACTATTAATAGGATTGAATTCAACTTTTTTTTTTTTGCTGTTACCAGAAAAGGGGTTAGATTCCAAGACAAAAAAAATCAAAAGTTATCAATGTTTGCCATACCTATTCATTCTTCAACACTTTCTTGATATCACGAGTCCATTTTAGGAAACAAATCATATAGTGCTATTTTTTATAACAAGTTTGCGAATTTCAGAAGCTATGGGAGCTTGCGTTATGATCTACAAGTTTATTTCTAAAATAATTGGATGGTGTGTTTTTTTCTTAGTTTATTTTAGTTTAAACGTTAGTTAATGCATTGGGCCGTTTTGTGATATGACGTTTAATCTTTTGTATTCTGTTATCGATTTTGATCTGATTTTTATTGAAAAAATGGATATCTAACTTTACCATGATATAGCAATGTTTATTTTATTTTATTTTATTTTATTTTTTTTTTTTTTTTAAAGAAAAAGTGAATAAAGAAATCTAAATATGGGAGTGTTTCTAGGAAAATCAGGTTCCGAGAAATTTTTGACTAAAATTAAGAGCTTAATACATTTTAATCTAATAACATCAAAAACTAAAATGCAATAAAAATCTCAACTTTTGCTATAAAAAATTCCAAAATTCCCGGAACCTGATTTTCCTAGCAATCAACCCATATATCGCTTGAAAAAAGTAATTATTTTTTATTATTTAATTAATTGATGTTTTAAATAAAAGATAAATAAAAAAATTTTCTTACAAATAGTTTGAACTCAAAGCTTAGGAATCTTCCGATCATGTTAATGATCAGATTCTTTCTTATTTCTTGTATCATCATCTCATTGTTGTTTCTTAATGCTTTAAAATTGATTCTAATGAATTCTTCACTATCCAATCCGTTGTAAGCAATACCAGTGGGGACCTATCCACCGCTTACACTCAATAAAAACAACGGAAGATATTATAAATGACATTTTTTTTTTTTTTGACAAAAATTTATTTTCTTGAGGGATTTATATAGGCGTTTTTTTTATTTAAAGGGTTAAATACATATTTATCGCGAAATTTTCGACCATCCGAACTTATTTTCATCCGTAGGTCGTGGGATTTCATTAACTCTCTATGGTTTAAGCGGGACCAGAGGTATTGCCTTGCTTATAAATCAAATTGGATCACTCTGATACGTCAATTATCACTACCACAAAAGTTAGCTAAATCAACTGGCGCACCCCGATCACTAGTACAATCGCGAAAATTTAGAAAAAAAAATTGTGGAGTGATTTTAGTAGCATAGCAATAGCATAGCATCGCTAACATAGGATAACATAAAACGGAATATTTCTCGTACGACAGTAAAAAGCCATCAAAGGGAAAAAAACTAACCAAACTAAGGAAAGATAAGCAAAATCGTCAAAATAAATACGAATTTTAGTAAACTACTGATGATACTTCTTCTTCAAATTCAGCTCCTAAAAGCTGTAACCATAACACATTACGAGTTCGTTCTTTGCGATTCATATTAAAAGCCAATGAAACAAAAAAACTATCGATCCGATCAAAAAAATTGTGCTTGTAACACGGAAAATTTTCGGATTTTTTTCTTTCGCTAAATATCGTTAGGATGACAATTCGTTAGGATAACGATATCGTTAAGGTTAACATACCTTTAGGATGACATTCGTTAAGGCAGTGTTTTGAAATGACTGAAATGACCTCAATTGACATCATTTTTATTAAATTCAAGTCAAACTGATCAAGCTCATTTGAAAAAATAGTAAATGACCTTATAAATTTCCATCACTGTGTTAGGGTAACATCGTTCTAATTAAAAATATATGCCGGGATTTGAAGTTCTTAAAAGTGTGACATGTACAGTCGCGTAGGAAAGTGACACCCGATTTAAATTACATAGTAATTTATATATAAAATGTATTTTCCGGATTTTACAATTAAAATGGTTAAGCTCTCAAGTTAAATATTATTTTTTTTTAAAAAAATATGACTAATTTGCTGTAAATTATGCAAATTTAGAAACAATTATTAAAAGAAATATATATGATTGAATTTTTTTTTTGGGATCTAAAACATAAAAAAATCTTTAAAATTTTATTTAAAATTATATAAAATTTAGAAATAATTATCAATTTCTGACGCGACTGTTATTTTTCACAGCTCGCCTTCCTTTATTTTTGCATATATACACCTTAATCCTTCCCTTTCTCCCTTGCTATATTATCGCCTTCGTTATTTTATCTCCATCAATATCTTAGTAACTTCGTTAATTTCGTTATATTAATTTTTAGTGTTTAATTGCGAAAGTGTAGAGCGCTGACACTGGTTAATTAATTTATTGTACAATATTACATCATAATGATTTAATTACTTATTAATAAAATGCCTTCTGCTTATTTTTAAATACATAAACGAAGAACTGATCTTTTTGTCAGTTATTACTGCGCTTTGTGTAATTACACGTGTATGCGTGACGTTACAACAATGTATTAATATGAGATCATTGGGGACATAATGTGGGACAGTGTTCGGAACTTCCTTTCCGTTGATCATTGAAAAAGGGTTTGTTTTTTTGAAACATTTAAAATGATCTTTAACAAATTTCTTAAATTTTAAAATTAACATTTTTTTTATAAAAAAAAAAAAAATAATAAAATTAAAAAAATGAAAGTAATGTCAATTTTTAAAATCATAATATTATCGATAATTTTACAAATATCAATAACACAATGTGTTCAACTTCCTCATTTAAAAAGAAAATTTACAACAAAATCCAAACATTTTAATAAGAAAGAATACATCAGTTCTACGGCTGACACAAAAATGAGGTTTGGAATACAATGTACACTAGATGATATTGATCTTTGTAGGAAAATCATCAAAGCGACTGAAGATGTTGGAAAATTAATTTCTTCCGTAATATTATTTGATGAACCCTTAATTGTAAAAGCAATGATCGAAGAAGCTTGTGTAGAAGATGATTCTTGTCCGAGTGATGGCGATATTTTGGGTAATGTTTTAACGTTTCGAGAATTCTCGCACAGAGAACTTTATGGAAACATACATTAAAAACCATTTTTTTTTTTTTTAAAAAAAAAATAGGAATAGCTGTTCCTGGATCATTTGTTTTATTAGAAGATTCAGGAATCGAAAGACTTTATCCACAGCCATTAGCGAAACAATTTTTCAAGGAGCATCCAGATTATGACGATATAGACATTATGGTTCAGTTTGTACTCCGATCAAATTATAGTTATTGGTTTCAAGGAGATCCTTTACCAACTGATAATTCCACCACAATAGATTTTGCATATATGATGTTACATGAAATTATCCATTCATTAGGATTCTTTTCATCGTGGGGAAGTTGGTTTGAACAAGTTGATAATGAGATACCATATCTAACTCCTGAACCTCGATGTGTAAATGTCGATGATGATGATAGATGTAATTTATGGACTGGATTTTATGAATATATATTTGATAAATATCTATTGAATTTGAATACTGGTGGAAAATTAACGGACAAAACTGTTCAATTAAATAAATTTTTTGGTTCAGATGGAATTCCCAATCTAAGTAAGAACTTTTTAAAAATAGATTTTATACATTCTCCGCAATTTGACATTGCAAAAGAAATGAACGTACTGGCAACTACTAGTGGTACAATTGGATTTTTATCTTGGAATGATACCGATTTTAGTGATTGTCTGGTGCTGGAAACAAATATCAACCCTTTTGATAATATCATTAGTCTCAGTCATGTTGACAACGTAAAATACAATAATACAAGTGATTTCTTGATGAGAAATGACCCGCTTTTAGGGAGATCACTTCATGAAAGTATTATTACTAGTGGGAATTACACAAATGGAACTTTAGCTGGATCTATTGGTCCTAAATTAAGAAAAGTCTTGGAAACATTAGGGTATGTGAATCTTTGTTTTCTTAGAAATTTTTTTTTTTTATAAAAAAAAAGAATGGATTAATTCATTTTCTTTTTAGATATCCCACCGTGGACAAATCAAATACATTACATGGTCCAAATCTTCCTATACCACATTCGATTTATAATAATTCAGGAAATCATTCAACATCTATCGCCATATGTCAAAAATATTTGCTTACAATTATTGTAATTTACTTTATGAAATTTATATAAAGCATACGTATCTGGAGTTGAATAAAATTATTTATTTTCAATTTATCACGATAATTTTTTTTTTATTTTGCAAAGAATGTTTGGGGGTTATAATTCGAAAAAAAGTGAGTTGAAATTATAATTTTTCATTTGCCAAATGAAAGACGTGATTGAAATTATGTGAAAAATAGCAATATGATATGATTGGCCAAGATCACCGACGATGTTTCAAGGTAGATCATTTGTACATATTTTGTATATTTTTGTTTTGGACATACTATTTCTGGAAAATATTGAGCAAGAAATTTCATCTCGTAAAGTTTCCATCCATATGAAAATTTGACTACCTTGTATATATTGACCGATCAAAGACCGGAAATTCAAGGGTAATGACTTCATTGCAGGTCATAAATAGGTGTTTCAAGCTTACATGGATTCTATAAGGTCGAAGTGCTGATTTAATGGACACGCAAATCCATTATCTTTCGCAAGGAGAACATTTCACCGAAGGTTTTCTGATTTAGTTAGGTTAGTTTTTTAATTTATGTTTAGGTGAATTATCGTTGATTTGGTAACTACTATAGGTCTCAGCGACACGTTGAATTTGTAGATTTGATGGGAGCGGCCGAAGAGTTGTTGGTTTCACAACTCGTAAATTCACTTGAAGTCGCGCATGCGTGCAGCCAAACATCACATAAAAAATGGTATGCTCAATGATTTTTGTGATATGTGATAATTAAACTCTAAACCGGTTGCTCTTTATTTCTGATATTCGGACTTGAATCGATCACGATATGAACGACACGTTCAAAATGTAGGTACGGAAGATTCTTCTCAGAGACAAGATGGTACAGCATTTTGATCTGCAGATCAACATACTACCCAAGATATAAATAAATGTCGAATCAAGTTTCGTGAAAACATTTGACAAAGTCCGAGTTCCACTTTATTCATAGTCGATGTCCTTTTATATAGATAAACATCAACGTACATTTACTCCCCTAGGCCAATCGTGAATTTATTAATTAAATTTTTTTACTTATGATCATACCTATATCACTGACAGACAGTACCTAGAGAGGGTGCATTTATAGATTTACACTTTGAGAGGTTTCTCTGTATCTTTCAAGACATTTTAAGATATTTTTTTTTTTTTTTTTTTTTTTTTCCAGAAGTTAGGAATATCAATTCTTTTCTAGAGCCTTAATTTTTTTCTGAATAATTTAATCTTACATTCATTAAAAAGTATGCTGTCTTTGAAATGAATGTCTTTTCCCTGATCTCGAATCAAAAAAAAAAAAAAAAATTATAAAAAAAATGTGCACAGACACGGAAGAAGCAGAGCTAGGTAGGATCTTGAAGATTTGATTATGTAGCGATAACTCTTATATGCTAATTTTACATAGCTGACTTTTCCGTTTTTGTCTCGAAAACAAAATTTCACAGGCTGATGCAGTGCCAACTGCGAACAAAGTACGCAGAAAATATGAATTTAAGATCATGGTTTGAAATATAGTCAATTATTGGTTAGTTGCCTTATGATCCTTTTTTTGTTGCTACGTTCTTGGGCTGAAAAACCCATTCAGGTATTCTAATGAACTAACCGCACGCTGGATTGGCTGTTCCATTATCAAAAGCTGAACTGAAGACGAAGATACTTCCAATAAGCTGGATTGTAATTTCCTAGAAACGACCTTTCTATAAGAATTTTTCACAAATTTTTCATCGTGTGTCGACATGACACTGTGTTTATTACAAAGCTGACGAAAGGTAGGCAAGAAAGCATCATAATCAAACTTTATATTATATAATTGACTATGTGCAGATGATTGCTTGAAGAGCAAAGCATAAAGGTTCTGGAGGCAAGTATTCTTTTACAATAAAATAACTACATGTTACAAATACCTTCAGAGTATTGTCTGATTTCTCATCTTTATTATTTGATAGTGCCAAAGTGCTTCGCTTGAAAATGAGGATGATATAGGAATAAAATTCACTTTTTAATTTTGAGTTGGATGAACATCTTTGAAGATAACTCGTATAATCTAAATATTAGAAATTAATGATGTTTTGTTCGCACCATAGGAAATCTTACTGAAAGTTCCGGAATGTTATGTAAGAAAATTTTAAAACAAGATGTATCGTATTAAGGTTAGTGTTAAAAAAAATTGTTCCTCATTCTACGAAGGAGTCAGATCCAAAACATTGATGACAGATGGCTTATTATCAAATTAAATTAAGCACATGTATCAGAGATTAGAAGCAGATTATCAGCTCATTAGAAGAAAGTGTGACTTTCATATTCCTGGATGCCAATGAACCAATATTTCTTATATGAGTGAAAACCAACCAAGAGTAATAAATGGAAGAAATTTTTAAAGAATAGTATTTACTCAATTTTGAAATCTAATACTTTACGCACAGCAAAGTATTAAAGTGTCAGTGTAAAAAAAGTAACTCATTTAAAAGAAAAAAAATTGTTTATTTATTATTATAACTTTTCAAAATATTTTATTCGTAGCGTTTTTTTTTTTTTAAAAAAAAATATATATATATATTTGTAGTAAAGATAACTCGATGAATTAAATTTTTTTGATAAAATGATGAAAATACAACCAAACCATTGATTTTAATTATGATAGATATATAATTTACGTCTTAATGAATCATAGGTCTATAATGTGGAATTTTTGAAGAATTCGACAAATGTGCTTTTTAATCGGGATTACTTTCAAAACTCGAATGCCCACAAATCACATTATTTACATAGTTTAAATATTAAAAAGAAATTAAGAGTTCAGTTAATTGATAATAATCGCTAATATAAACGCTATATTTTTTTTGTGAGGCCTTTGTTATAGAAAATTTTTTAGTTAACTTGAAAGAGAGGAGAAATCATACAATCGCAAGGATTTTGTTAACGGACACATATTCCTTTCTATTCCCAAGCTGCGCTTTATTATTCTAGAATGGTTAATCAAAAGAGATTTTAAAAATAATAAGTAAATTACTTTTAGATTTTATTCGTAAAGTTTTGAATCCCAAAATTTTTTATTTGATTTTCATATAAATTACAAATCATCTTGTAATATTTCCCGTTTTACAATCTTAAATATTTCGATTTCTTTGATGAAGAAAATGTTTGGAACTAATATGGAACTTTCATAATTGCTTTGATTACATGTGCCAAAGTTATCACTAACGTTAATGATCAAATCGCTATTACCAAAATTCAATTTATAATTATAAAAATTCGATTCATATAACGCTTTTGTGCTATCCACAACTCGACTAATCTTAATATTATTTAAATCTTTCCCATCTAACGAAAAAATGAAACTTTCATTAGTATCGATCCAGGAAAAGGTGTGTTCACTTGAATAATTCGTGTTAATATGATTCCAACCGATAGGGTTGTAACCACCAATTATGGCATCATTTTCTTCAATCTTCATGACCAAAATACACGATCCCTGAGTATGACATTTCGTACGTACAGTATCGATATCATAACCATCTCTACTTCCATGATAAATAAGGTCAAGATTATATCTAACATTTATTGGAATTCTATCATAAGGATCATTTCTCTGGATCCAGTTAGCAAGGATAGCCGCATGTCTACGATTAATAATTTTTGAATCAACAAAAACTTTTCCTTGACGAGGAGGCAAGAATGTATCTGGACTTGGTTGAATATTATCCTTATGATACGACAAAATCTCTTGATAAAGTTTTTCAGGTAATACTTCCGCAAAAGGTTGAACTTTCTGATCAAAATCCGCTGAACTAATTACGAAAAATCGAATGTTTGAGATAAATTGATTCAAGGTCTTTTTCAGAGCAATGAAATCCTTTTTATCCCAATTATTTAAATTGGTCATGTCCTTTCCTTTCAATTCTGAACTGTGAGCAATTCCCCATTTGATAAGGTAATTCCATATATCAATTTCTTTAACACGTAAATGATCTCTTTTAAGTAATCCAAGTAGAACAGTTTTTTCTAAGCTTTGATTTTCCGATTTAAAAAAAGGTTTAGGTTCCTCGCAAATATAATCCAAACAATAATCTTGGAGTTTTCTACAACCTTTCAATCGGAATGCTTCATGAAGTACCATTTCAAAATTTTGTTCTATCCACTCATATCGTTTTTCAACCAAATACTTTGGTACATAAGTTATCAATTCTTCGAGAAACAATCTATGAGATGCCAGAATCAATTCAAATATATCCGGATCAGATTGGCTGTCCAGATCAAGTAGGCCAGTATAAATATATCTAAGGATAAAAAAAATTGTAATTCAATAAGAACCTTTTTAAGTATCAAGGACAACGGGATCCTTACCCAATGATCATCTCAAAGACTCTGGGAGAAATTTCTGTCTCATTAATGATTAGATCTTCTTTCCCTTTCTTCGAGAGAAGATTTTTCAAGTAAGGCGATCGAACCTTCAAGATATTGGAGTGTGCACGAAATTCTTTAACATTCGAACCTTTTCCAACATTGATGGTAACATCATAATCATCTGCATCACCACCAAGCAATAGAGAAAAGTTTTTAGAAAGTCCAGGGAAGAACTCTATGGCCATTTTAATATATACAATATATACATTTAAAAGAGTCTGAAAGAAAAAGGTAGAAAATACATAACGCCAAACTTTTATATTTTTCTTAAACTATACTAATTAATTACACAATAAACAAATTTATCTAGAATCAAATGTTATTGTGCCGATCAATTTGATTTATGCTGAGCTCTCTCTTCTCTTCTCTTCTCTTCTCTTTTCTTTTCTATTCTTTTTCTTTTTTGTAAAGGTGAATCTGTCAATCAAGTAAATAAATTGAGGATTGTAATGCTAAATTGAATTTATTGTTAGAAGTAATTCAAATTTCAGGTTTAAAATAAATTCAAAATTTGCCACAGTCAATCATTTTGTATGTTCAGCGCCACAAGAAGTTTGAGTATAAAAACATCTTTCAGAATCTCCATTCTTAATATGTATGTATCATCAAAGTATCTGAGACAATCCATGAAAAATTCGTAATACCCGTTTGAGAAATGCCAAATCGATTCAGGATCTTTTTTTTTAAAAAAGCGCAACCTTAGGGGTAGTTATACAATCTGACTATAATTGGTAATTATGATTGATGTTTCACATGTGATTTCGCAAGAATTTCCTTTTTTTGATCTTTTCGGAAATTTACAATTTATAACCAAATGGAATTTTTTTTTTTGCACTATTTTGAATAAATTCTTGTCTTACATTTTTAAACCTGTAATTTTTTTTTCATCTTTCAAGTTTTTACAAAATATTGATAAAGCTCTATAATAATGTTTAATTCATCCACTACTACTCCTCCGACTTCTCCAACATCAACACCACCATCCCCTCTAACCGACGTAAATTTAAATGACAATAATGAAAATACACAATTATCAGTTTTCAAAATATCCAATCAAACGATAACTCGTCGTTTTACTATGCAAGTAGAAAAACCAACATGGCTCGAATTGGAATTAAAAGTTCGTGAAGCATTTTCAATTCCATCTTCAGTATCTCCAGGTTTAACTTATACGGATGAAGAAGGTGATGTTATTACCATCTCATCACAATTAGAACTTGAGGATTATTATAAACAATTCAAACGTTATGATTTATCCGAAAATTATAAATTTGGTTTGGTTATTTTTACACCCATAAGAGACTATGTTGATGATTCACAAGATAATAATAATTATTCTTCTCCTGATTATGAGGAACAAGAAGTTCGTAGTATTTGTCCTACTCAGTAAAGTTCTGTCAATGTGTCAATTTAATTGTCTAGAATTTATTTATTTTATTTTATTTAATTTATTTATTTAATTTATTTAATTTATTTTATTGCAAATGTGTTAATGTTTAATGCTATCGCAGTACGATTTATTTGTTAAGCTTATATAATAAATGTCATTCGTTATTAAAAAAAAAAAAAAAATTTAATTAATTGTTTTGACCCTTGCATCGAAAAGAAAAAATATCCTTTGATTATCCTATCAAAAAATTTTACTCAACCATCAAAATGTATTTTTTTAAATAATTCAAAATAGAATAAAATAAAATAAAATTACATATAATTAAATAATTTTGACTACTTTCTCGGCATTTGAATTCTTTTTTCTCGGATTCTTATAAGTTTGACAAAAAATAGAATTATATAATGAATCAAGATCATATGATAAATATAATAAGAAATAAATAAATCAAAATGTATTTACCATTGGGAAAGATAAAAGCCCTTTGACGCATCTTTGAGGTGCTATCGGAAGTTTGATTTGCGGTATATTTGATTGCCATTATTAATAAATGAAAAATTATGTAAAAATTTATTAGTGAAAGAAAAAAAAACGCGTCGTAATATAGACTTTAAAATATATTAAACCTGATTCTTTACTTTCTTTCAAATTTAAGTAAAATCTATAAGGTAAATTAATAAGAGATTTTTTTTTTATTTACTTGTCAAAGAAACCTATTATTTTAAACAACTGATATTGCAAATAAGCGGTCTAAATTGGATATTAATTTTTTTAATTTTCATTTTTTTTTAAATAAATTTTCTTTTGAATAAAATTTATATTTTTTAATTTTAGAATTAATTTATGATTTATTATTATATATAAATTATAATTTTTATTATATAATCTTTTTATTTTAAACCATTTATAAAATTTTATTTATAACTTTTTAATGTATTCCTTAGATATTTTCTAACAGGCAAATTTGTCAGCAAATTTAAAGTATTAATTTCTTTATACAATATAAAATATTAATTTTAGTAATATAATTATTAATTGTTATATAAAAAAAAAATATATATAGTTTAATTTATTTTTTATTAACTTTATTAGAAATATTTTAAGTATATTAAAAAGTTTTAAAATAATTCAATTTTCAAATTAAGTTTTTTAAAAAATTCATTTTTAAAAATCATAAATTCTTAATAAATTATAAAGATTCTAATAATTAAAAATTATTCTTTATGATAGATTTTATAATATTATATTATAAAATTATTAAAGGTTAATGATAAAATTTTTAAAAATTACAAATTTTTTAATTTATAATTTTAAATTTTTATTATATAATTAAAAAAATAGAAATTATTATAATATAATTTATATTTATAAAATTAATTTAAAAAAGATTAAAAAAATTTTAATTTTTCATAAAAATAAATTAAAAGAAAATTTAAAATAAATAGATAGGCAAATTTTTATAAAGCTTTATAATTTAAAAAAAAGCATTAATATTACAAAGTATTTAAATATTAAAAATTTTTTTTTTTAATATTAAACTTAAAATAATAATTATATATAAATAATTATTTTAAATCTTTAATTTAATCTAATTTATTAATTTTTAAATAAAAATAATAAATATAATAAAAATCTTTTAAGATAACATTTAATTAAAAAATAAAATAAATTTATAATTATATTTAAATATCAATTAATTAGAAATTAATTTAATTTAATTTAAAATTTTAAATTAAATTTAAAAATTAATTAATACTCTTAAAATTTTTATAATTAATTTAATATTTTGAATTATTCTTTAAATAATAAATACAAAATTATTTATAAATACTCATAATATTTTAATATTACTATATAAAATTTGTAATTTAATATAAAGATTAAATAAAATTATGATAATTACTCAAAAAATCACAGATGAAAATTCACAATAATGTCATAAATTATTTTTAATATAAAATATAAAACAAAAGTAAATATAAAGATATTTTAGAAATTACATTTCAGAAACTTTAAGTTAATATAGTAAATCAATATAATATTATATAAGAGCTATTGACTAATTCCCATATAATAAGTTTTTTAATAATTAAAGTGATCATAAATAAATACAAAAGGTTTAAATATAAATTTAAATAATTTTAAATAGTTGTAAAAAATAAGTTTTATATTTGGTTAATTTTACTTCTTTATTAATATAATAATAAGTTTATTATCTAAAAAATTATTATCTTATTAATTAAATTTTATTAAAAAAGTAATAAGACTTAAAAAAATATAGAAATATTTATATATATTAAATAATTAATAAAATAAACTAAGCTAAATATATTAAGTAAAAATAAAATTAACTATTATTAAGAAATAAAATAAATTCATTAATAAAGTTGATTAATTTATAGAAAATAAATTACATTAAATTTTAATTGATTATTTTTTTTAGAAATAAAAAGAATATCTAAAATTTATATAAGATCTTTACAAAAATAAAAAGAGAAAATAGCTAAAAAAAAATAAAAAATGTATTAATACTAAATCTAAACATATTTTAATCTAAAAATTATATTTAACATATAAAAGTAAAATTGATTTTTTTTTGGCTATTTTTCTTCTTTTTATTGTAAAGATCCCATATGATTATTTTAAAAAATTAAATTGACTAATTGATCTAAATAAAAAATTTTCAAGAAAATAATAATAATATTAAGATTATTAATAAAATCTTCAATAAAAATTTTGCCTATTATCTCTTAAAACATAAGTATAAATTGGCTATAAAACATTATAGAAAAATTATAATATTTTAATATCTAATGATTATAAAAAGATGAAATAAACT